AAGTTAGAATTGTAACAAGAAAATTGCGTGGAGTAGTTGGCTTCTGTGATGGTCTTGCCAATTCAAGGTACAGGGTTCAAAACTTGGCAGAGGCAGATTTTTTAACATGTTTTTGTTAACTTAATTTTATAGGGTTCAAAACTTGGCAGAGGCAGATTTTTTTACATGTTTTTGTTAACTTAATTAGGGTTCAAAACTTGGCAGAGGCAGATTTTTTTACATGTTTTTGTTAACTTAATTTTATAGTATAAAATACTTATGGGTATTATACTTTTCTCTTAGTTAATGTTATGTTTAATATTTTTTACATGTTTTTGTTAACTTAATTTTATAGTATAAAATACTTATGGGTATTATACTTTTCTCTTAGTTAATGTTATGTTTAATAGTACGTTAATAGTTATAAATATATAAAATTAATTACTTTTACTTATGGATATTATACTTTTCTCTTAGTTAATGTTATGTTTAATAGTACGTTAATAGTTATAAATATATAAAATTAATTACTTTCATTAAATACGGATATTAAACGTGTTATTAAACGGAGTATTTACTAACTATGATGTATAAGGTATACGGTGGTGGACTCGTGGTTTAGAGTTCGAAAGATTAGGATTTAGGACGTATGTTCTTCTCAATAACTGAATACAAAAGTGACTTAACTAACATTCTTCACATATCATACGTTATAATTTATACTTTATACCAACAATTTCATAACACATAACTATAGTTCATGGTTTAAGGTTAGTGTATAAGGTATACGGTAGTGGACTCGTGGTTTAGAGTTTGTACTCATAAGACGTATGTTCTTCTCAATAACCGAATATAAAATTGACTGAACTTACATTTCGCACATAACATACGTTATAGCTTATACTAACAATTTCATAACATATAACTATAGTATAGGGTATAGGGTTTAGGGTTAGGGTTTAGTATAGGGTATAGGGTTAGGGTTTAGGGTTAGGGTTAGGGTTTATTCATGGTTATGCTTTATGTTGGATATTTTGATTTTTATAGTTTATTAATTAATTTGATTTTAACAATTAGTTTAACTTGTGAATGTACATCTTAAATATATCATATTCAAATGACATTCCGACCAACGAATCGAACAACAAACTAGTTAATCGGTATATTTTTTGAATGCAACTTGAGAATACAACTTGGAAATTTTTTGAATGCAACATTCAAAACCCCCTAAATATTTGCTCAAAAATTCCCTTGCAAACCTATTTTTAAAAAAAATCCCTCCCATAAACCCCCCTTCCCCCCAATATTTGATCAAAAATTGAAAATTCCCTCCCACCTCCCCAAATATTTGATCCAAAATTGAATTTTCCCCCCATCCCAACCTAATTTTTCGTGAATTTTTTTTTTATTAACAATATATATTTTTTAATCAATTGAGACGAAAAAATATCTGTCTGATCGAATAAAAAAAAACGTAAGAAAGAAAGTAAACACAAAAATCAGTCTTCGCCTTCTCTCTCTATCTCGGCCACTTTCCCTAATTCCCTTATCCTTTCTGCGCCTCTCTCTCAAACTAGCTTTTGATCCGGCCCGTTGGCCGGATTACTTTAAATTATCAACTCATGGAACGGGAGAGCATATATTTTGTGGGAATTGTAGATTCAAAATGTTAATAAAATATTAATATATTATTTTTTTAAAAAATTATTAAATATATACTACCAAATTTTAGACATATATTTACATCCAGATCGAGAAGAAAATAACAAATTTTCATAGACCATACTAACAATTTGTTATCAATTTTATACTTAAAATTATATAAATTCAATAGGTTTTTTAAATTTTATTTATAAAAAATACTCATATTCTCTCCCCGCCTCAAACTCTAGGTTTTTACCAAATGACATCCTACTACTCTACCTCACGGTCTTACTATTTCTCATCATCTTCCCGTTATTTGATTTGGACTGCCTGATGAAATACTAAATTTCAACCAACTACTACTAATAGCAAAAGATATAACTAATACTAAACTCTTCAATCGTAAGAGTATATCGTAAACAGTAAACCTAAACCCAATATACTAAAACAGATTGACCTTGCAAACAATAAACCTCAAACCTAATTAATACTTAGCCTCAACCTCTTAATTTCAAACTTATACTAAATTTCAACCAACTACCACTAATACCCAAAGATATTACTAATACCAAGCTCTTCAACAGTATGATTACATCATAAACAATAAACCTAAACCCAATATACTTAAACAGATTGACCTTGCAAACAATAAACCTCAATTTAATTATAGCCCCCTATAATATTTTTTTTTAGGAAATTATAGTAGCTCCATATACTCATAGCATAAGAAAACATAGGGTTTTCCTAACACCATAAACTCTAAACTCCAAAATAATCAACAAAATTGGAGTGATCAAATATAGTTAAGATAATGTTTAATTTTATTAATTCATATGTGAACTTAGAAGTTAAATATGTTTCTTTACATGATTCTACATCTAAAATTTTTATCATAAAAAATGTGAACACGCTAAAAGTAAAGTAAACAAAACAATGTCTAATATGTACACAATATTTGTCTCTCAACCACAATATCATTAACTATATGCATTCACTTTCAATATTTGAACGGAGCATTAAACTCTAATATCATGCACCAAATATCATGCATAGACTGATAGTAAGCACCTAGTTTAAAATAAAACTAAAAAAAATTATAAAAAAAATGCACCAAAGACTATTGATAAATTTGTAATATTAAATATTTGAGGGAGCAAAAAAGTAGGCGTTATGGTTCTGGACAGAGGAGGTCCCAATTTGTTTGGTAGAAGAGAATATAGATCAATCAAAAAGAACAAAAGGAAAAAAAAAAAAAGAATAATACAATTTCATACCTGCGTGTGTGAGACTACACTTGTGGAGGCCATATCGCCGCCGCCGGTGATGTTGAAGTTGCACTGTGGCCACCACTCGGGTGCCCCGCTACTGCTCAACTTCTTGCCGCCACCGTCGCTCGGATGCACAACACAGGTGACGTTGGAGTTATTCCCACCGTCGCCCAGTCCGAAATTTTATACAGCTTTGCTTACCTGTTGGGCGTTGGCGGCTGTAATTTGTTTGAAGGCACTAACCAACGCCGTTGCTGACCGAACTTCTCTCTAGCTTGGCCGATCAGTTGATGCCCGACGGATGGAAAGTGGAAATCATCATCTGTTATTTGGTTAATGATTGCTCTGAGCCCACAATGGGCGGAGATACATGCGAGCCAAACAATAATTGTGACATGTCATTTGGGCTTTATTAATGGGCCCAACAAGGTGGATGCCGGCAAACGCACTGATGCATTTGGGCGGGAAGTGGGAAAATTAAGAGAATAAAATGACTATATTACCCCTGACGAAAATTAAGGGGAGAGCAGCATTTTTTGAATGGAGAAAATGTTGTAAAACTCCAGCATTAATTAATCTCTAGACTCTAGATCTCAATCAGGAACAAAAAACCCTCCCTCCTCCTTCTCCTTACCCTCCGCCGCCTCGTTGTCGTCGCCGTTGAAATCAAGAAGCAGAGGAAGCGGAAGAAGACCAATAAGCAGAGGAAGCAGCAGTCGCGGGTCGGCGTGGTTGCGGCGGAAGAGGCTGGGTTTTTCCCCTCGTCATTCTCAGGTACGTGTCTCTCTCCGTGAATCTGTTCGTCTTCTATCTTTGATCGTCGGTGATGTCGTTCTTTTTCTCTCCGGCAATAGTCCAACTTCTTCCTTCTGAGCAAGTTCACTTCTCCAATCTTATTAAGTGTGAGATCTCTCGAAGAGGAAATGTTATAATTGAAGAAAAAACGTGAGATCTCTCCAATTCCATCAAATTCACAAGGCGACGCTTCCTTCTATTGGCAAGGGAGCCATCTGCACGCATATGTGATTTTTTATTTTGTCCATAGTATTTTTCATCACTTCCCCTGCATCTATGTTCAAGTTATTCCATTTGCTTACAATTCGAGAATAGAATTAGATTTGGGTTGGATACAAGCTTATGTACAAACTGTTTAGTTATTACCCTGCACATCTGTTGTTTTGAGAATCTTTCTTTTCTGCCATTTTGAAATTGAGTTGTTGGGTCTCAACTCTCAACTATCAAGACTCAAGAGATTGTTTCATTGGTTTATGATCAAGCAAGTTGTCAGCTTTTTAATTTCTTATGTTGGTTTTGTAACCTTAATGAATCCTTTGCAACATCAAACTTGTTTATGATATATTGAAGAAAATCTAGTCACTCATTTGTTTAATAATGTATCTTCATGTTTTTTTTCATTTCAATATAGTGATCGATGAGTTTTTTTAAATTAGTGTAGTAACTAATTATTAAAAAAACTCGATGGTTTGGACCGAACAATCCGCAACCCGACCTGTTATAACCCGCAATCCGATCAACCCGAACCCGATTGATCCGCAACCCGATCAACCCGTAACCCGATCGACCCGCAACCCGATCAACCCGAACCCGATCAACCCGCAGCCCAATCAACCCGCAACCCGATCAACCCGCAACCCTATCAACCTGAACCCGCTTGACCCGCAACCCGCTTGACCCGCAACCCGATTAACCCGCAACCCGACTGAACCCGACCCGAACCCGCCCGATTGACACCTATAATTGTGATTGGTAATTAAAAAATGAAATTAATGGTAGCCCAATCAAGAAGCGCCACCTGGTCTGGCAGCAGCTACGGGCTGCAACCCAGGTTGCTGCCAAGTATTGCCCATTAATTCTTTAGCTAATTGGGTAGCACGAAATGCTCATTTTGAATGTCTACCCACCGATTGGATTATTGTGGCTAAATTAATCACTCTTTTGTTGTAATGCTTCACTAAATCGGATGAAATAAAAGAGAATTCTTATTGTCAACAAAAAATGAGGCACCATTAAAACCTCCAAATTTCTTTCAACTAAAGGAAAAAAATTCCATGCATTTGCACACAAAATATGTATCCAATCACACCATTCTTACTTGCCACCAGAAGTTGGCGCAACAACAATCGGACTCCTCACATTATACTTCCCACTTTCTTCAACCCAAACAATCGAACCATGCGAAACCATCCCTTCACCATCACTCGCGTACGTTATATCCACGTAGTAATCTCGCCGCTCGTTTTTCTTCCCAAACACCAAACTCTGCGGCCACACCGCCACTTTCGTGCCCATCGGCGCAGTCACTTTTACTTCATACCTAGTCCTTCCGTCACCCACATTCGTCACCACCCTCCGAAACCTGTGCGTCAACATCGCTCCGGTAGTCACATTCTTATCGTAGAACGCCACGAACGACGGGTAGTTCAGATCGAGCGACGAGGAGTTTGCACAGTCGTACATGTTCGATCTCGTGATGGTCATAATCTGATTCCTCGTAAAATTCATCGAACACAACAGAGAAACGTAGTCCTGTGGAGTCACATCGTAGACTAGGCCGGGGTCCATGGCTAGATTCGGGACTATATGGCCCGCTCCCATAGCGAGAGGAGACGCGGCCGTGAAATTTCGGCCCACGTCCTTGATAGGCATCATAGAACTGTCCAGCTCAGTTGTCGTCGTCATCATGGCCGATCTGATAGCTGCATGGCTCCATTCAGGATGTGCTCCTCTCAGGAGCGCAGCCACGCCAGAAGCGTGAGGGCACGCCATCGACGTGCCAGAGATCAGATTGAACCCTTCACTGGACAGTAAATTATTCGTACCGACCGCGGCTGTGTAGTCATCTGGGATCCAGGAAGCCAACACAAGGCTTCCTGGAGCCATGACGTCGGGCTTTAGAACCGCGGGGCAGTTCGGAGAAGGACCACGAGACGTGTAGTCGGTTACCGAAGGAGCCACCTCTTTCCCCGTCACAGTCTGTCGAAATTTGATTGCAGCAATAGGGTTGTCGCTACTGTTCATGTAATGGATGACTGTAGCGAACTCCGTCGCGGAAATTAGCACGCCTGGACAGCTCATGAACTCAAATTCGACCGGGGAAGGATCTTTAGAGACAAAGACCGCGCCGGCGAGATTTGTCACGCTGGAGATGGCGCGCATTTGGAAGTCTAGAAACCCCGTGTCCTCGCAGACAATAATAGCACGTGGAGCCTGCGAGAGCAACTCGAGAGAGTCGCATTTAGAGAGCGTCTTGTTGTAGATTAGGGTTTCATTCTTAACCCATGCATCCAGCGGAAACATGCTCCTCCCGACTATGACGCGTTGTTGTTCTCTGTCGTTACTACTCCCTAGGGTCAAACTCGCGGCAAAAGTGCGGTCAAAGTTGCCCGCTGCGACGGTTAGCATCCAGGGAATTCCATTATGCAGTGGAATTCCTCTAGGCTCGCCGTTGCCGGCAGAGGAGGAGACCAGAATCTCCTTCTCCATCGCACCAAACGAGGCGATCGCGACAGGATCCTCGTACAACGGGACGCCGTCAAACCCCATGGAGATGGAGATGATGTCGACTCCATCCGCCACTGCTTGGTCCATTCCGGCTAGCACGTCCGATGCGTAGCGTCCCTCGTCCCATATCACCTTGTACATGGCCACCCTGGCTCGAGGCGCCATGCCTCGAGCCACGCCATCAGCGTAGCCGAAGAAGGATGCACCTTCCACGTAGTTTCCGGCCGCGGTGGAGGTGGTGTGAGTCCCGTGTCCTATGGTGTCTCGAGCCGAGTTCATGGTCAGGGTTGCATTCGGGTTGGCAGCTTTGACCCCTTTGTTGAAGTATCTAGCCCCAATAAGCTTGGAGTTGCATAGGGAAGAGTTGAAGTCTTGTCCCTCCTGGCAAGTCCCTTTCCACTTGGATGGGAGCTTGGAGGTGTACATCATTCCGTGGTCGCTGAAACTTGGACTTTCCGGCCAGATTCCGGTGTCGATTACACCGATTATCACGTCTTGGCCGAATTTTGAGGCCGGCCAGAGGCCGGTTGATGGGTTGAGAGACATGAACTCGGGAGTGTAAGTGGTGTCCATCGTGACGAGTTTGTCTTTGTAGGCTGAAAGAAAGCCAGGTAGGTTTTGGAGGGTTTGGAGTTCTTGCTGGGATAAAACAGCGCTGAACCCATGGAGGGCGTTTCCGTAGGAGTACAAGAAGGAATTTTCGAGGGACGAGAAGTGATGTCGCTTGTCGGAAGCGACGGTGCTTGTCGAGGATTTGGCGACGGAGACGATTGAGGAGTGCCATTGTTGATGGGTGGTGAAGTGTTCTGGACGTGAGGATGGGTCTAGGTGGACGATGTAGGTGGAGAAGTCGTCGGTTATTGGTGTTGAAGTGACATGGAAACTGAACACGAGAAGAAGAAGGGAGCAAAGATGAAACATTGTTTTTTCCTCTTTTTTGGTGGAAGTAGTTGGTGAAGGGGATTGGTGCTTTTACACGAGCATGCCTTTCGTCCTATATATACAAGATGTACGTTAATGAACTATTAGAAGAATCCAAATTGCATACACTGGGTTTGATCGATCGGCTGGTTGTGTCGTCTTAGGAACAACACAACTTGTACTTGGTAACTTGGGGGTTTTGTCCGCCAGAATAAAATGTCTCTGTCTCCGTTTCTGCTTAATCGGCAACCAGCCGGCTTTCATTAAGCATATCATGTCTCTGTTTGTGACATTTTTTTCTTCAAGTGTGTTGTAACGATTGACAATGCAAGTTTTGTTCCAATTAATCAACACCTTTTATGGTTTCTCTCACCACGGCTTGTCGTACTACATTGGAAACTCAAATAGTTCTGCAAATCCTAAGCTTACAACATTATTGTTGTCACTGATTTGTAGGGATTAGACTTGGTTGGTAATTATCCATAGGTGTATAACTATGAATTATCATTCTATCATTTAAAATAGAGCTAATACCATTAGGAAACCTAAACTATCAAGAATGTGTCATTTGTGCCCAATCTATAATAGTTGTGTGTCACTTATATCCTGACGATTTCATTGACCGTTATAGATGACGGTTGACCAGACTGAAGTCAACTTTAACATTGACTTTTGTTGACGTGACAACCATATAGATGCCACATCAAGTTTTTAATTTAAAACTAAATCAAAATTAATATAGGAAAATTATAAAATAAAAAATAATTAAGTTTTCAATTCCTCCATAATACAACCTTTTTCTCCAGATAGTTGTGTGTCACTTATATCCTGATCGTATGACGAGTTGGAGGTATTGGAGTTTCCTTCCCGCCGGGGTATTTGGCTCCGGGAAGTTGACGAAAACGATGGTTCCTTCATTCGTGGGAGAATCACATCGAAAGATTTTGATTGGATTGGTTAGATGGAGGGAAGGGGATGTTCGACTTGGATCTGTTCGGCGGAGGTAAGGGGATATTCGGCGGAGGGAAGGGGAACAGATTAGTCATTAGTTTAGAGATCCGTTTTACTTTTTTATTTTTGTAATTATCTTTTTTCTTAGTTTATTCATTTATATGGACAATAATTAATATTATAAATTCCACTTCAGATGCTATATCAGTGCTGACTAGATTTTTAATAAAAAATTAACGGTCAACGCGGTCAACTCTAATGAAAAAATAGTTTAGGACACAAATATCATATTAGATAATTTAGGACACAAGTGACACATTCTTGATAGTTTGGGTTTCCTAGTGGTATTTGCCCTTTAAAATATAATGAAGTGTTTGTAAAACCGTATCATATTGACGGTCCGACCGGAAAAACATCATACGAAACCTTAACCGGTAGTAGGTTTTAGCGATATTTGATGGTTGAACTCTGATTAAAATACGATTTCAGCACAAAATATCTTACCGCGCTGAATTTTTCAGTACAACCTCTGATACGATTTCGTAATTCTCAATATATCTTATTAGAATATATAAAGCATAAGTAAATTTAAGGGTTCAGTGGCAGTGGTGAATCCACGACATGGTGCACTAGGCCGCATTTGAATAGAAAATTAGTTATCATAAACAAAAATATATGATATTATAGTTTTCATTACATTGTCAATTGTACATGACACTATTTTAATTTAGCTAATTCATCAACAATGGAGTCTTCAATCCATACCAATAATATACTCTCTCTAAAAAATAGTTAAGCAATCAGCAAGAAATTCATTCCTCATTTTGTTGTGCAAAGAAGTTATCACATGTTTCATTGCTGAAAATGTTCTCTTCGTAGTAGACTTTCAAATGAGCTAGGTCAACACTAGACGAATCAATCGACAAGTCAATTTGTATTGTGTGTCCATCTCTTCTTCCAACGGCTTCTCTAGTAATTTGCAAGGAAAAAACTTCCTATTCCTGACTATAAACCACATAAGCAACATAATATCATAGCTCATTGTTGAAAGAATGCATCTACCTAATAGTCTTCAAAGTCATGAGGATAAACTCTTCAACAAGTTTGTAAATATTTTATTCATCAAATAAAGATCATAAAGAACTTTTAGGATCTATTACACCACTCAACTGAAACAATCTAAATGAGAATGAGAATGAGCTTTATAAACACACTTTCATATTTTCCTAATTCTATTGTGGTACTTCTCATACTTGGACACTACTTCTAACAATCCTCCACCTAATCAATAAGAATTGAGAATATATAGTCAAATAAGTAATGCTTACCTAAATGTATCTTTTTTATCTGAATCTTTACTTAGTGCAAGTCATTCATAATTTGGATCAAATCAGTGAGGAGCTCAATCTACATATTTCATATATTCTACAATTTGGTATCTAAAATTTTGATTTCTAACCGGAAAAATCATTGGAAAATATCATTTTGGTACCTAATTTTTTTTATTGTGATATTTTAGTACCAAAACTTTTCAAATTATACATATCGTTTCAATTTTTAGATGCCATTTTGATCGATGATCCAATCCACCAATCAATTTTATCCAATCCATGAATCAATTAATTCATTTGATCCATAAATCCACCAATCCAAAAATCCAATCCATTTGCTACCTGTTAGGCAATTATAATAAAAAAAAAAATGATTTTCATTCTACTATTATGCTTAGTTTTTACGGACTCGTTTTTTACGATAATGCGCTGAATAACTCTGCCTACCAAATCTCAAATCCCGACTCCGCCTGACATGACTTTCCAAATATATTTTTTTTCAACTAAAATTCTGGCTCTTTCTAAAATATAACATTTTTGTTTGACTATTGCTTTTTTGTTGGTCTAATCGAACGTGACCTTTAGCATTTTGGACACGGAAAATATTCTAGCCATAAGAAGCTAGATGACACAATATTGAATATTGATGTATGAATTCCCTTTCTAAGCTCGCATATACAATCAATGAAGCCGGCTGGCTGGTTTGCCAATTAAGCCGAGACAAAGAGGCCCGACCTTTTTTTTTATTTCAATGAATAAAACCCCCCACACGTACAAGTCACTTGCTGTTAGTAAGACGTCAAATCCAGCCGAAACCACTTTATGTAATCTCCTTTGGCACCTTCTATTCGTTCCCGAAAAGAACCAAAGATTCGAGTAGAACTGAGAGGCCAACATTATTTCATGCTAGTAATTTATCTCAAGTCTATACCTACACCTTGTATAAATGGGACGAAAGAGTTGCTCAATAGGCATCCATCCTTTCACCAAGCATTTCCGCCGTCAAAAGAACCAACCATGCACTCCACTTCTCTTTCACTGTTTCACCTCTCCTCCCTTCTACTTCTCTTATTCACTTTCCATGCAACTTCAGCACCAGTAACCGACGACTTCTCCACCTACATTGTCCACCTAGACCCATCCTCACGTCCAAAACACTTCACCACCCATCAACAATGGCACTCCTCGATCCTTTCCGACGTAAAATCCTCGACTAGCTCCACTCACCATCACTTCTCGTCCCTCGAAAACTCCTTCTTGTACTCCTACCAAAACGCCCTCCACGGATTCAGCGCTGTTCTATCACAACAAGAACTCCAAACCATAGAAAACCTCCCGGGCTTTCTTTCATCCTACAAAGACAAACTCGTCACGATGGACACCACCTATACTCCCGAGTTCATGTCCCTCAACCCATCAACTGGCCTATGGCCAGCCTCAAAATTCGGCGAAGACGTGATCATTGGTGTAATCGACACCGGAATCTGGCCCGAAAGTCCAAGCTTCAGCGACCACGGAATGACTTACAACTCCAAGCTCCCATCCAAGTGGAAAGGAACATGCCAGGAGGGACAAGACTTCAACTCTTCCCTATGCAACTCCAAGCTTATTGGGGCTAGATACTTCAACAAAGGGGTCAAAGCTGCCAACCCGAATGTAACCCTGTCGATGAACTCGGCTCGAGACACCCAGGGACACGGGACCCACACTTCCTCCACCGCAGCAGGGAACTACGTCGAACGTGCATCCTTCTTTGGCTATGCTGATGGTGTGGCTCGAGGCATGGCGCCTCGAGCCAGGGTGGCCATGTACAAGGTGATATGGGACGAGGGACGCTACGCCTCGGACGTACTCGCAGGAATGGACCAGGCCGTCGCCGATGGAGTCGACATCATCTCCATCTCCATGGGGTTCGACGAAGTCCCGTTGTACGAGGATCCCGTCGCCATCGCGTCGTTTGGGGCGATGGAGAAGGGGATCTTGGTCTCGTCCTCTGCAGGTAATGTCGGCCTCAGGGGAGGCCCGTTGCACAACGGGATCCCCTGGGTGTTGACCGTCGCGGCTGGCAACTTTGACCGCACTTACGCCGCGAGTTTGACCTTAGGAGACAACAAGGAGAAAGAACAACACGTCATCGTGGGGAGGAGCATGTTCCCGCTGAACGCGTGGGTCAAGGACGAAACCCTAATCTACAACAAGACGCTCTCCAAATGCGACTCTCTAAAGTTACTATCTGAAGCTCCACGTGGCATCATCGTCTGTGACGACACAGGGTTTTTGGACGACCAGATGGACGTCATCGACAGCGTGACGAACCTCGCTGGCGCGATCTTTGCCTCCAAAGATCCTTCCCGTTTCGACTTGGAGTCGATGAGCTGTCCAGGCGTGCTGATTTCCACGACGGAGTTGGATACAATCATCGACTACATCAAGAGCAGCGATAACCCTACCGCGACGATCAAATTCCAGCAGACGGTAACAGGAAAGGAAGTAGCTCCCTCGGTAGCCGACTACACGTCTCGAGGTCCTTCTCCGAACTGCCCGGCGGTTCTGAAGCCCGACGTCATGGCTCCAGGAAGCCTCGTGTTGGCTTCCTGGATCCCGAATGGCTACACCGCCACAGTCGGTACGAATACGTTGCTGTCCAGTGAAGGGTTTCACCTGATTTCGGGCACGTCGATGGCTTGCCCCCACGCTTCTGGGGTGGCTGCGCTGCTG